ATCCAGGTTAAAAAAGCATTGTAACGCGCGTTACTCACATTTGTACCGAGTAAAATATTACAATTTTTCCCCCGTAATGCCTTACATTACTGCGTTACAGCAAAAATCAACGCATTACTGTAATACATTACTTTTATAATACATTACTCCCAACACTGGTAATGACACACACATTACGAAAACTACAAAATGATTACAGGAAAATGGAAAATATCTAAATTGAAACAGCTAAATATTAATATAAGTATTTTTACTCTTTAAATCATGATCTCAACATGAGCATGATTCATTTGCAGCCCTTATTAATACTGGAGTTTGCAATGCAACATGCACCATACCTAATCTGTGGCAGGAGTCTGGTTCAGCACCTCCAGTGCAGTGTGGGCTTTACTTTGTAATCTGCATTTGACCCATTTCATGAATCATGAGTGTCTCATCAGCCAACAGTTCTGTGGCCCCAGCAGTGTGTTGTGTCCTCATACAAGAGTCTGCAGATGAGAAAAGACAATGAATATAAAACATTTCAAACAGTTTTCTCTTTACAGTTTTCTCTGTTAGTAGTAGTTTACTACTGTACTTGCTTGTACTTGTGTTTAAGTAATAGTCAAAAAAAAATCTTACAGTCACCAATCAAGGATCCCTTCAGAATACGTCAACTACCTCTGATATTATTATTTGCCAAAAATATTTCACTAATTATTGACTGTGAAGGCCCGGACTAGCCCAGGACTAGACCAGGTCTAATCTTGGATTTGAGAGCGAGAGAGAGAGGTGTCCGCAAAGCACGATCAAGCTGCTTTAGCGCCGTGGGGCGCAGAGCTCTGCGCCAGTCCTTTTGCCCGCGGTCACCCACACTCAATCCTGATTCAGTTCTGGTTTAGTCCTAGTTCGGTCCTGGGATCAGTCCTGGTCTAGTCCGAACCTTAATCTGCATGTGTCGCGCCTTCCCAGTGGCTCTTTGGCGCTTCCCAGAGGAGGCGAGCCTCACCTATTGAAAACCGCTGCACTAAAGTCTCTCTCAGCCTGGTCCATCGTTCCAGGCAAAGATCCAGAAATGGCACTTATTTTCAGGACAACGACGCTTTCTGTTCAAATATGAAAGTTTGAGTGGACTTTTCATCGCGTTAGCTCCAAATTAGTAGCTAAAGTTTTAGCTCAAAGCTCCGAGGTTCACACAGTTAACACAGTTAAAAACAAACTTATTTGACAGTTTTGTGGGTTATGACCGTAACACAGTAGATGAATATAATCAAATAAAAGCCACTTTACCGTAACAATCATTAGTCCCTGCTGTAGTTTATCGTCAGTCAGCTGTTTCTGTCTCATTCAAAGGCAGATCCTTTCTCTCTGTCCAGCCGGTGTGTCTCTCCATTGAGCTGTTACACTGAGCACGCCCCCTGCAGGTTTGGAGCACTTCCGTTGTGGTGAGTCTTTATGCAGCGTTTTTCTTTTGCAGGTGTTTTCTTGGTTTTCACCGTTTCGCGCTTTGCGTTGTTTCTCTATTTGCAGCGCATTTGATGATGATGCATTTGTCTTTGTTTCTTGCAGCGCGTTTTCTTTTTCATTTGCACCACTTTTTTTTGTTTGTACCTCGTTTAAACTTGTGTTTGACCCTGTGAATTTGCATCGTTTCTGTACTTGAAGTTGTTTACTCTAAATGAGACGCATTGAGCTATTGCAGTGCGTTTGGCCCCCGTCGGCCACCGTATATTTGTGAGTAATACTTACAACTGTAATGAAATAAATGCTACAGGTTTGAATCTAATCCAGGCGCCGCCCAGAGGTAGCCTGCTTCATCAGCCGGTTTTACGTCGTTTCACTTCGTACAAACCATCTGACTTCGCAGCCTTAGGTTTTGTTCACTCGACAGTAGCGGGTACTTTTTTATTATTTAACCAATCACTGCTATTTGGTCGTGACGTATGAAATGCACCACTAACGGGGTTAACTGGTATATTAAGCGTTTCTCAAATCCCGTAGGAAGAAGGGTAATAACGTCTTTCCCCTTGATGAAATTCACCAAACATTCTCTTTATTTTGGCTTTAAATCCTTGATCTCGGGAATCATTGACAACACTGAATATGTGGCACTTCACTGATTGGCTGGTGCCCGAACTTGCACTTCTGGGGTTTTTGCGAACCGTCTAGTGTATTCTGATTCCTGAACTAGTCACTGGAGAGAAATGAAATTGAGCAGAGGCACTAGGTGGCGCCAGCCTTTCTAGCCCAGAGGTTTGGTGTAGTTATGACGGCGCTCGGTGGCCTATTTATGCAGGCTGATGTAATCTGAAAAGGATGCTGTGTGCACAATGTTAATTTGGAAAACGGAGGGAGGGAAATATTAGTTTCTCAACACACCCGACTATGTGTAAACGCAGCCTTAATGCAGATGGCGAACTCCCAGAAATTTTACATAGTGCACCTTTAAATCACTAAAGTATATTTTGCGTAATATAGCACCTTTAAAATATTCACTATCCTTCTTTTGCACCTCCGTCTCACTCTCCTTCTCTAAATGCGTAGCTGTTTGCACGTGTTTTCTAACAGCTAAAAAAAAAATCCATCTATTTTGAAACTGCAACGGTCTAAGCAGATTCTGAGACAGACCGAGATGAAACTGTAAAAATATTCCAGATTGTGCTGAATGAGGCGAGGTGTTGCTAACGGGGAGCATGTGCACACAGACACTGCAGGAGGCATTTCATTAGTACATCTGCTGTTTTAACACTGAATAATAATAATGCTGTGTTTTTAGATCGACAATTATCTGGAGGTTTAAAGAGAATTTAATCTGCTTTTTTCTGATCTCTGTTATAACGTTGATACTTCATCAAAACAGACCTGGAGTTGTGTTTTGTTTTATTCACACATGTTTGAGTGATCCTTTATTATTCATCTGTCTACATCACAAAGCTCAAAATGCTCTGTTCCACCTTGTGATGTCATGAAGAGGTAGTTTTCAAATGAACAGCTCCTTTAACCTTTAATTCAGTAGAGATCAGCAATTCCAATGATTCTAGTGATGGTGTGTGGAGTTTAAAAACACGGTGAAGCACGTCCTGTATTACCACATGTGTGAATGTCTCTCTCTTTCTCTCTCCTGTTGTTGTTATCCCTCTCTCCTTGTCTTCTTTTTTTCCTCTCTCCCTCTTTCTGTCTTGTCTCACTGCTGCTTTCTATATATCTCTCTCTCTCCCTTCCTTTTACCCTCTCTCGTGTTGTGTTCAGGTTCACTGTTGTTTTGCCTTCTCTCTCTCTTTCTCTTCTCTCTCGTGTTGTGTTCAGGTACACTGTTGTCTCTCTCCTTCTCTCTCACGTCTCTCTCGTGTTGTGTTCAGGTACATCCTTGTCTCTCTCTCTAATGTCTCTCGTGTTGTGTTCAGGTACACTGTTGTCTCTCTCCTTCTCTCTCACGTCTCTCTCGTGTTGTATTCAGGTACATCCTTGTCTCTCTCTCTAATGTCTCTCGTGTTGTGTTCAGGTACACTGTTGTCTGTCTCCTTCTCTCTTTCTCCCCTCTTGTGTTGTGTTCAGGCACATTTTTGTCTCTCTCTCATGTCTCTCTCGTGTTGTGTTCAGGTACACTGTGGTCTCTCCTCTTCTCACTTCTCTCTCTCGTGTTGTGTTCAGGTACACTGTGGTCTCTCCTCTTCTCACTTCTCTCTCTCGTGTTGTGTTCAGGTACACTGTGGTCTCTCCTCTTCTCACTTCTCTCTCTCGTGTTGTGTTCAGGTACACTGTGGTCTTTTCCTCTTCTCACTTCTCTCTCTCGTGTTGTGTTCAGGTACATTGTTGTCTCTCTCTCTCTGTCTCTTGTGTTGTGTTCAGGTACATTGTTGTCTCTCTCTCTGTCTCTCATATTGTGTTCAGGTACACTGTGGTCTCTCCTCTTCTCACTTTTCTCTCTCATGTTGTGTTCAGGTACACTGTGGTCTTTTCCTCTTCTCACTTCTCTCTCTCGTGTTGTGTTCAGGTACATTGTTGTCTCTCTCTCTGTCTCTCATGTTGTGTTCAGGTACACTGTGGTCTCTCTCCTCTTCTCATCTCTCTCTCCTGTTGTGTTCAGGTACACTGTGGTCTTTTCCTCTTCTCACTTCTCTCTCTCGTGTTGTGTTCAGGTACATTGTGTCTTTTCCTCTTCTCACTTCTCTCTCTCGTGTTGTGTTCAGGTACATTGTTGTCTCTCTCTCTGTCTATCGTGTTGTGTTCAGGTACACTGTGGTCTTTTCCTCTTCTCACTTCTCTCTCTCGTGTTGTGTTCAGGTACATTGTTGTCTCTCTCTCTCTGTCTCTCGTGTTGTGTTCAGGTACATTGTTGTCTCTCTCTCTCTGTCTCTCGTGTTGTGTTCAGGTACATCGTTGTCTCTCTCTCTCCTTCTTACCTCTCTTTCTCGTGTTGTGTTCAGGTACACTGTTGTCTCTCTCCTTCTCTCTTTCTCCTATCTTGTGTTGTGTTCAGGTACATTCTTGTTTTTCCTTCTCACGTCTCTCTCGTGTTGTGTTCAGGTACACTGTTGTCTATCTTCTTCTCTCACGTCTCTCTCCTGTTGTGTTCAGGTACACTGTGGTCTTTTCCTCTCTCACGTCTCTTTCTCGTGTTGTGTTCAGGTACACTGTTGTCTGTCTTCTTCTCCTCTCACGTCTCTCGTGTTGTGTTCAGGTACACTGTTGTCTATCTTCTTCTCTCACGTCTCTCTCATGTTGTGTTCAGGTACACTGTTGTCTCTCTCTCACGTCTCTCGTGTTGTGTTCAGGTACACTGTTGTCTGTATTCTTCTCCTCTCACGTCTCTCGTGTTGTGTTCAGGTACACTGTTGTCTCTCTCTCACGTCTCTCGTGTTGTGTTCAGGTACACTGTTGTCTGTATTCTTCTCTCTCACGTCTCTCGTGTTGTGTTCAGGTACACTGTTGTCTGTCTTCTTCTCTCACGTCTCTCGTGTTGTGTTCAGGTACACTGTTGTCTATCTTCTTCTCTCACGTCTCTCTCGTGTTGTGTTCAGGTACGTCGGTTTTCCAGGTGACGGCCTCAGACGCAGACGACCCGACCTACGGGAACAGTGCTCAGATCGTGTACAGCCTCCTGGAGGGACAGCCGCACTTCTCCGTCGACCCCAAGACAGGTAGGCGCTCCCTCGACACTACCCCCGCTCCTGCCCCTGCACCTGCCCCTGCACCTGCCCCTGCACCTGCCCCTGCACCTGCTCCTGCCCCTGCCCTGCACCTGCCCCTGCACCTGCACCTGCTCCTGCCCCTGCCCCTAAATCACTGGAGGTCTGCAAAGTCCTTTCCAGTTGTACTATTTGTTTACATGTCCATTGTGTAACTTTTCTGGTGGAGGTTCCATCAAATTATTTCCCAGTGGAGATGTTATTGCTTTGTCTGGAATGTTCCACAGTATGGCATTAAAAATTTCTATCTTCATGGAGACCAAACCAGACCAAGTTACAGGTCAGATCTGTGGAGAAGCGACCCCCCGCTCACAGTCAGAATGCCTGTTTTTGCAGGTATTTTTGAGCAATAAAACCACCTGCAATTGAATAAATATAAGTCAGAGCTCTTTAATGTCATACTGTGGAACATTCCAGCCAGAGCACTGACATATCCATAGAAACAAGCGAATGGCGATCTCCCAGTCATTTAGAGTCAATTATTTGCACTTTTTGGTTCTCCTTTGGATCTTTTCTTGGTAACACAGTGGTTCAGTGAGTCCTGTTGTTCCTGAGTTTGCATGTTCTGCGAAATATTCGAGCCTAAACTTGAACTTAAATGTTAAACCTGATCATATTTTTACATATTTTTATTGTGGTCAAAGTGGACGCATTTGTTTTATAGAGTTGTTTTTCTAAATGCTTTACATTTTTGTGCATTCACTCAACATTCTGCAGTGGTAATTTACATCTGAAGAGCTTTTGAAGGTCTAATATTAACGCAAAATTGACTCTTGTGAACTTTAAACCATGTTCTAATGTTGTTACCTTCTCAAAAACATACAACACACTATAGCCACATCAGCCCGTTTTAGATTATAATGTGTTTAATGCTGCTTTGACACATTTGTTAATGTTTTACAGAAACAAATCTTAAAACCACATGACTCATTTGCATGAACTATAAGTACTGCTCTTAGTTCTTTATTTAAAAGTAATTTCACTCACTTTATTTATGTTGGTCACTTTATTTATTTAGGCTACTGTTGTGATGAAAAGACAGAAAAGTGTTTGTCTTTTGGACAGATGCACTTTATGTTGCAGTAACCGGGCTACTGGGTTTACATGCACCATACTCAAAAAACCCGATCATACCCGGGACACTGATGTGCTGTACCCATATGGAAAAGATATAAACAAACCATACACCATTTTAACATGTTTCACATGAATCCTAAAAGATTTGTATATGACTTTGGTAAATATGTGCAGCATGAAACATATAAAACGTAGGCCTGTATATGACACTAATCCCACATACAATATCCTTACAAGTGTTGGACAAAGGTCATTTATTTCATAGAAAAACAAGTGAAATGATGATTGTTTCCTTAAACTTGATTGCTGTGTTGTGTGTGTATGAGAGTGAGAAAGAAAATTATCACAGTGTGTGTTTGTGTGTGTGTGTGTGTGTGCATGTGTGCATGTGTGCATGGGTGTGTGTCTGGGGGTGTGTAATTGTCCCCAATATCTGCTATTGTCCCTTCTGAACTCAGCAGCTGGTTTGCTCAGCTGGTAATTCACTGGACTTCCATGTGGTAGACCTGGGTTCAAATCCCCCTTCACATTCTGATGTTTTTTTCTGCAACATATAATTAAAGAATACAAACATTACATGGATCATACAAAGAAAATGTAGTTTATCATGAACATTACCTGTAAATGTCATGCAAAATCTTCACTTTATCTTTACTAGTTTTTCATAATATAGTTGTACGAGAAAAATGCAAAAGGGGCCACTTTCAGGAGTAAACCATCGATGACACATATAAACATTATATAAAGATTTACTACAAAGACAGTGGTAAATTCTTATATATTTTTTCCAGTTTTTTCTATATGAGTAAACACACTCACTGGGTGGTACAATGTCTCCAAGGAGCCAGAGCCCAAACTTGAGACTGTGAAGCTACAACTCCAGTGGTTGCGCTGTCAGACACAGCCTTGTCTCCTCACGCTACCCACAGCAACCTACATTCAGTTTTGTCGATTAAAAATGAACATGATCAATGAAATCCTTAAAGACCAATTACCGGTTAGTCGACAAATCTTGCCCATCCCTACTGGCGACTATTTTGCCTACTTTGTCTGCAAGTGAAGCGTGCAACCTTCTCATCTCTGCTATTGATCATGGCAGCGTACATTTGTTTACCCATCTCCCTGATCATTTTGTGGGACACTCTCTCGTGGCGTGCTTGTTTGCTGACAACCCATTCCCACATGTTTAGCTCGAGCTCCTCACTGGCCTGACCCTTTTACTGTCCTCCTCGAACCGACGCTGAAGCTCAGATTTATTTTTTCGCCAATCTTTCACTCTCTTGGGGTCAACAGATAAAACATCTCGCGGCTGCTTCTCCGGAGTTTTCCTCTGCATATTTTACCATAGAAAGTTTAAATTTTAAGTCGTATTTTTTTTATTTTTTTGGCTGCACCGGAGCCATCAACAAAAGAAAGCACGATAGGCTACATAAACACAAAGCAAAACAAATCAGGCAAAGAAGAAAAACGTCCATCTTCTTTCTTGATTTTTTAATTTTTTTTAAATACATCGGACCCAACGTTATTTGGAACTGGTGGTTGTTTATCAAAATATTCACCTGCACCCGGCGTTTAAAGACGGTTAATTAAAGCCAGGCTATTATTTGGTATTTTTCGATAAACAGCAGACAGTCCAGTATCAGTCTTCTGTGGACTTCAGCTCTGGAGTCGAACCTTTCAGAGAGGAGTTCATCTTGGGTGGCCATCTCGTCGTGTGCTCCTGTGCTGCGCCTTTAAAGCGTCTCTTTTTAGTGTGCGGAGATAAAGGTTGTTTACTTTGCCAGTGTGCCCGGGGGAGAGCCCTGCTGAGGCCTGCTTTTCTTCTTCACCATTACAGCTCCAAATGAAACTTTGGCTCATTTGGGTTCTGCTGTTAAGGCTAAATAAACATTATATTTTATCTCTTTTCCCCACAGAGATGTCTTTTGAAGTGTATTTATATCCAAAATTAGACTTTAAAGGGCCCATATTACGCTGTTTTCTGATCTACGTTATATAATGATGTTTCCTCTTCACAAACAGACCTGGAGTTGTGTTTCGTTTGATTCTCACACCTTCACTGCTAATGACTAATTTATAAGTTCAACCCTGGAAATGGCAATTGCTACTGAACAAAAGGTAAAGGGAGCTGTTAACTTGAAATCTATGTGACATCACAAGGTGGAAAAGAGCATTTTGAGCTTTGGAGATGTAGACAGACTAATAATAAAGAGTTACTCAAACATGTATGAATAAGGTTACGTCACCATGTCGGAAACAATTTGCATCCACGCACGTCGTTTCTGTGTCCGCAAGCAAAGTCTTCCCTATCCACACAGCTTTGAGCATATTTGTTTACGTTTTACAGAAACAAAACTTAAAACCACATGGCTAATTTGCATAAACTAAGCGCTCAAAAAACACGCGGTTCTGCTTCTGTCAGACCAAAGGACACGACTCAGTGGAATATGAGTGTTCTTTCTGTGACAGAGGGGTGTTCTGCTGATGGTGAGTCTGTTATGTGCTTGTATCGCGTTGGAGATGGTTCATGTTAAACTTTTCTGCAGGTCGTACACATAGACTTTAGATATGAATGGACATATATATTCTAGCCTCTTAGTGTTTTGGCGCTGTATTACTTCGTGGCGCATAGACCTCCATCAGCGTATCAGCATTTTCAGGTGTCCACACAGTGCCGGATCAGATCTGTACTCCAATGAATTCGTGGGAGCTGGCGGCACCAGATCGTTCCGTCTCTGGAGCCGTTTTCCATTGGGTTAGTGTGAACGAACACTGCATCCACAACGAAAATGACTTGAATACATACTAGCATGGACAGGGCCTAAAACAAACCAAGTCCAGGGCTGAGATAACAACATTATAATAATTCCAATTTTGCATAATATAGGACCTTTAATTGCGACTCAATAGAAAACATAGTCGGCATAATTCTATTTAAGTTTTTTACTGAAAATCTTGTTTTTTTTAGTTGCCTTTAGTTTTTAGTTGCCTTGCCTACATATCACATCTGCACTTTTAGAATTTTTGCTGGGCGTTGTCCTCTCTTCTCCTCCTCTTCCCCCTTGTCCCCTCTTCTCTTCCTCCCTCCTCCTTTTCTCTCCTTCTCTTCCTCCCTCCTCTCTCTTCCTCTCTTCTCCTCTTCCTCCCATTCCTCTCCATCCTCCTTTCTCCTCCCGTTTCTTCCTCCTCCTCATCCTCCATCTTCTCTCCACCTCTTCCTCCCTCCTCCTCCTCCTCCTCTCTCAGCTTCCTCCCTCTTCCTCCTCCTCTTTCACCCTCCTCCTTCTCTCCTCCTGTTCCTCAATCTCCCTCCTCCTCTTCCTTTCTCCTCCTCCTTTTTCTTTCTTCTCCTCCTCCTCCTTCTTTTCCTTCCTCCTCCTCCTCTCTCCCATCTTCCTCTTTCTCCTCCTTCCTCCACTCTCTTCCTCCTCCTCTTTCACCCTCTCCCACCCTCTCATCCTCCTCCTCATATTTCTCTGCAAATGGAGATAAACAAACGCACTAATAGCTGTGTTCGTTGTGTGCGTTCTGTTCATTGTGTGTCTGTGTTTGTTGTGTGTCTGTGCGTCTGGAGCCTGTTCTGTTCTTCCTCACAGACAATAGAACAGAGCAGTGGACTTTCCTCTCGTGGAGTTTGAGGCTTTGGAAGAAAACTGGGTCAGACTTTTCAGAGGGAGAATCCAGGCACCAATCCAAGTTTGAGTTTGTTGTGTGAAACTCCGCAGCTAGCACTTTTAGGAGGAATTGGGGGGGTAAAAAAAAGAAAAACTAGAAAGTATCTGTTGCCAATGCACAACTTTGAAGCTCGATGCTATTGTTTTGAGTCTGCAGTCACATCGGCTCAGCTCACACTTTCTATCATTCCTAAAAAGCCC